TACTTGACTGATACATGACCGATACTTGACCGATACTTGACCGATACTTGACCGATGCTTGACCGATTCACGACCGATACTTGACCGATACATGACCGATACATGACCGACACTTGACCGATACTTGACCGATTCACGACCGATACTTGACCGATAGTTGACCGATACATGACCGACACTTGACCGACACTTGACCGATACTTGACCGACAATTGACCGATACTTGACCGACATTTGACCGATACTTGACCGATTCACGACCGATACTTGACCGATACTTGACCGACACTTGACCGATACGTGACCGATACTTCACCGGTACTTCACCGATACTTGACCGACACTTCACCGATACTTGACCGACACTTAACCGATACTTCACTGATACTTGGCCGATAATTCATTGCCCCCCGGGGAGGAGGTTTAATTCCACGATAAAAGATATAAAACTCTTATAAGTAATATGATTACCTCATAATTTAGATGTAAATTGCATGTCTGGAATCCAGTTTTAAATTTCTCTTGTGCCGGCCATGGTGCGTGTCGTCTCCGGTAGCGAATTCCAAGTCCTTACAGCGGCGAAGTAACGAAGAGAGACCTTAGACCATGTTTTATACATGTTACTTTAGGTATCAAAGCATATTTGTGCCCCTTTCATTAAGATACGTGTTCTTTACTTGAAATGAATTAGCTGTGGTGGTGGGTGTCTTCTTTTGAAAACATCTGTCTATCGTAATTAACATATCTTGGGTGAGACGACCTTTTAATGTGTTATTTAAACCAATCAAATTGAGCATTCTTTCTTAAAGAAGGGTCTTTGCTATAAATACATGTCATACCTAAGTGCACGGTCCCTTACCCTCTCTAGTTTTTCAAGTATATTCAACCTATTGACTTTGCCTGTTACTTTTCCACAGGAAATAAGCGCTATTAAAAGTCACGCCGAAGAACAATACGTTAGCGCCCTACTGCGCTTCCATCAGCGTAGACTTGTTAGTCACAAGAACAAATTTGAAAAGGCTAATATTGTCAAGTCTCGATCACAATACAATGTAAATACACGTGAAAGATCACGTTCGCCTTTGAGGAACACTGTAAATACTGATGTCGACAGGATAGACAAAATAGAAAATCAGCTTTCAGAGCTGAAAGATCTTATACGAAGCTATCCTCGACGTCAAAACTCACTACAAACCGACCGAGACCTTTCAATATACAAACTATTCATCTTGCCACCCGCCAGGTGTTAAGAAAGGCTTTATTAAAGGAGAAGCTATCTGACTTCTAAGAACAAACTCCTCGGAAAGAAATTTCCAGGAGGCCATGTGTAACTTCAAAACACGACTTGAAGCACGTGGTTACCCAAAAAGCCTAATTGAAAAAACGTTATCTGAGGTCTCGTTTGCCGCAAGGCAGTCGACACTTAAAAAACAAACCAAAAAAAATAAAGGCAAAATATTGCCTTTTGTGACAGCATACCACCCAGGAGTTAAAAATTTAAAACAAATACTAATGCAAGAATGGAACCTCATCCAAAATCAGCCACTGCTGAAAACAATTTACAAAACGCCTCCGATTATATCATACAAAAGAGGTAAATCGCTCAAAGACATTCTCGTCAGAGCGAAGCTTTAATAAAAGGCTTTTGCGTCGCAAAAGTAAAACCACACAGGGGAGTCTGTGTAGGCCTGTCTATGACCTTTTCAATGACAGTATAGCATTTTTCTCCCCAAATATTACATTGGGATACAAAACAAAACCATACGGCACAACTTACAGCACAAGCTATCAGCGGTCTTCTCTTTTGTGCGGACCTTTGTGAGAACAGTATAACATCGAACTGGACCTAAATTTAAGCGATTATTTCTTCACTTCAGAAGCCTAAAACCTTCATTTCTCCCTCAGCTTCCAGACATGGAGAGTTTATGTTCTGATTTTGGAAAAAATTCAGCTCTGCAGCGATGTTAAATGGGTGATTCACCGCGAAATGTGGCCAATTCCGACATTTGTTTTGATACCACGAATCACGATGGATGCCGCCTACTTTTCGAAGGCAATACCTAGCTATCTGTTGAAGTTATCATGGATTTCACTAATTTGGTTATTAGAAAAATTCTGAAGTGAGCCATGAAGCCGGGCTGCAAAGTGGATAAGCTGTATTTATGACGAAATCTGCTCCAGTGGTTCGATTTTGGTGTAGGCGAAAAAATCGCGAATGCTCGTACATGTGCTGATTCAAACGGTCATAACTTTTGAAAAATCGAAAAACGTACAGGGGTTTTTGCATATTTTTACCTATAAAGGTCTAAACTTAACTGCTGTGTAGGATAGAATCGTTAACCAGGTCCCAAATCCCAAAACTTAACGTCTAAATCAAGGTTATTTACGGCCATCGGCCGATGGCGATTTCTAATGGTCAGAATATGCTAAAATTCGCCTTTTCAAATATATTGAGAGGGCAAATTCTAACTTTCTTGGCAAACTAGAAAGGTTTTTAAACAATCTGATATAAATTCTGTGGATTAACTATACGAATCAAATATTTTGCAATGTTGCAAAATATGCCTATTTTTCAATTTTCGAGACGTTGCGACGGTCCCTGCGGACTGGAAAATAATTATGGTCCCTAATGCAGTCAGAAAATTATTTCGAATCAAACCAAATCTAATTTAGTTCTTTCTTAGGTAAAGTCTTTCTGTTGACAGAGTTTCAGGAAAAATTATTTTCGACGCAAAATTGACCGGGTGGAAATAAGAGAGACAGCCTCTTAAAGGGTTAAAAACCTCCAGTTTGAGACATAACGGCAAACAGGACGTCGGTAGAGTGAACTCGCAATACTTCCAGCCGCACTCATAAAGTTTTGATTTCTATTTCATTCTATATCAAGCACGTGTTTTTAGTAAACGTCAAAACAATTCTAACCCTGTTTGTTCCCATTGGACCGCGAGTAAAGAAATTTCACTTTCCGATGATGTAGTCTTCAACGCTGGTGTACTAAATGGTGGTGACGGTTGAAAATATAGATCGTATTAGGTTCCGTAGCTTTGTAAATCCACTTTATAGGGATACAACTGTTTCGAGATATTTGTCCGACAAAAGCTTAAAAGCTTAAGCGGCAATACCAAATGGCTTTAAAGTAAATTACCACTGCTTGGTCGAAGTTCTCGTTGCTTCAACGCAATAGAGAGAGATAGCATGAGCACACATGTTCATGGATTCTCCTTCCTTCCGGCTTAGACTGTGAGCTTCGATCAAACAAAAGCAAATAACCGTTGCCCATACAACCTGTTGGTATTGTAGCGCACGGTTTTACGCTCTTGTACGACAACCTTTCTTGAAATGGCTGTTTACACTCTCTCCTCCTCCGCAGCGGCCTATTTGTGTCACAAGAAGGCTGGGAATAGAGAAAAGAAAGCGCGCTCACATTTCTTTGGAGGGGGGACTGGTGGAATAAAGGGGGGACATAAACGGTTACTCCGCGTTCGAGAGGTTTAAACACGAATTATAGGTGCACTAACAATTATAGGTGCTGCACGATTTGTGCGTCACAATAAACACGGCGACGAAGATCGCACCGAGAGCCTGGAAAAATAAATGATTTATGGAGCAAAACAAAGGCTGTGTGCAAGTGTTTTAAAAAACATTGGTTAATTTCCTTACTGTCCTCCGTAATACAAGATGTATACTGGTAACTGCAGTTTGTCATCCAAAAAAAAATTACATTCCAAAACTCAAATGGGAAATGGTTTTCGATCGCATGCATTTTAGCGAAAGCTTAATTGACTTTCTTTCCTTTGATTTAAAAAGGCAAGATTTTTCGAGTGGTAAAACTGAGCTCTCCAATTTGAGTGGATGGAGAGGGAACTACTGACGCGCCAAGAGAGTAGCGCGGTTAAAGTTTTGTTTCAATTTTTTTCCTTCCAAAGATGTGCCGGGGTTTTTCCCGAAAACTTTCCTCTGTAGGAAAAATGAGGGAAAAAAAAATGCTTGCAGTTCGAAAATTCCCCTCAGTCCCCTCCCCCATTCAACTTTCTTATTTTCGTCCATTGAAATAATGATGATAATGGTGATTAAGATAATAACTGCTTCACATTGCCAGACATCTTTCAATCATTAACTTTATTTTAGGATAATCATTTGTTATGATTTTGTACAATATAAAAGTGGATGTGTAATTAATAACTATCAACAGTTCACTATCAGCTACGAAGTTCGTTCCAAAAGCAGTAATTTTTGGTTACTCGTTTTCGTTTTCCAAAAAGGTGCACCAACCTTATTGCATAGCATTCTATTATCATTATGGTCTACATTTAAAGCCTAAAGAACAGTAACAACAACCAAAATTCCTTCAAAACTTAGTGATCTAAAACATTTTCTTGGCACACATTAATAGGACCTTTTCTTTAAATCCTAACTACAATTTCTTTTAGCCTAAATTTTATCTGTTAATAACACATTGCTAAGTATATACTATCCGTGGAGATGGACATGTTATAAAAAAAAAAAAAACACAGAATCTTATTTAACCTAAAACCCAAAAAGTAACAGCGTCGAAGAATTCAAGCGAGTTACACCTAATAACAACAAACGCTCTAGGGGTCATAGCCGGAAAAAAAAAAACAAAACTGAGACCAATAGGAAAAAAAAAAAATCTATAGTGGTAAATAATCAATAAAATCACCGTATTTACTCGTTTGAGCCCCACCCAGAATGAGTGCCGCATCTAATATTGCCGGCGGCACTTATTTGAGGAAACTAATTACATTGGAACATAACCATAGTATAATCTTTTTCAGTTTGAGAAGGCTATGGTTATAATTTCCTTTATAGCTATCTCTTTTTTTTTTTTCTTTTTTTTTTTCAGAAATATGATGGTTGTTGAATAAGCTCCGCTCTCTAATGAGCGTCCCGCACCGAAAAAAAAAAAAAGAATAAACGTGGCGCTTCATAGAGTAAATACGGTAAGATAATGGATGAACTAGTTTAATTAATTTTTTTAATTATTTTCCCATATAAAAATCATCCTTTGGGTAAAACGGGAGAAGCTTTTGCTCGGTTTTTAACCTACTTGATTGGGCGCGATAATCACTGAGCGCTTCCCTACATTTCGATTCAATTAATTTCATCGACACCTTACCCGTCTTTTCCTTAACCAATTGGACCACTCTCTCGTACTTTTCTTTGTCGATGATTCTGAGTTCGCAGATGCCTATAAAGTCCCTGAGGGTGTTCCGTGGGACACCAGAAAGTCGCATGGCCTCTGCAAGGGAGCACTGGTTCTCTTTCATTGTTGCGAGAACGCCTAAATACCTGTCATGAATTCCTTGTAAATTGGATCCTTGGACCGTTCCTAGAATATTAGAAAGAAAAATTCCTTATTCAGAATTTATTACCATTCGTTTCCCCAATTTATGAAATATTGAAACTTTACCTATTCGAAAGGATAAGTTTGGCAGATATTTGTCAAATTATCATGTACATTTTCTTCTAGAATTAGCAGCCGTGGTCGTATACTTACTCTTTTACAATCCGGCGGTATAGCGCGATAGTAAGTCAGAAAGTCCAAAGTGTTACTGAACCTTATCACATTTCACAAACAGTTTCTCGTATTTTTTTATTTGGGCAGTTCAGAAAAGTCGTCCGGCAATAGTTCGTGGAGAATTTTCAGAAAATTTGCAAGAGACGTATTAACTTTATCGTCCCCATCGCCTACGTCACTTTTCTGCTAGATTTTTTGTTATCTTTGACGATCTACGATAGTATAGTTAAGGATGCAATGTGTTCAGTCAAATTTCTAACAAACCTCGGGAATTTTTTGAGCACTTGTCTTTTTTTGGCTCCATTGGCTTTGGCTCCTCCTCTTCGGTTTCGCACAATTCGTCCTCAACGTCTCCGTCTTGAAAAGTCGCCCCTACAAAGCCAAAACATATACTAATTTAACTGCAATCGTATCCCTGGACTGACTTAAGCTTCATACAACAATAGATTTATACAACGCCACGCCTCAAATAATCCCTAACCCTTATCATTTCCAAAATATCGATTGTAAATAGTTACTACACGATTGGAAACGATCCTCCGAAAAAAATTGTAGCAATCGGAAATTGTGTTAAAATCTTCGGGAGCTCCCTATGTTGTTCATTATACAGTGCAGGTATAAAGGTTGAGTGGGTGTGGTTTTAAATTAATTAACACGTGTAGCAGGGTAAGATAAAATTCTCGAATACTTGGTCATTTATATTTGTCCGTGTGTGTTTTAAAGATTGAGGTACCTATCAATGTTCGCCATTCTTTTTCAATGAGATGCAAATAAGTGGGCGAATTATTAATGCACGTCATTCTTCACTCAATGTCGACTCAATGTCCTCGACATGAGAAAAAATTTCATTAAGATTAGCCTGAAGAACATAGGTAATTTCTGTGCGTTTCTCTCTCCTACAATCGCGGTGATTCCCGTTTGAGTCCACAAAATTGGCAAAAAACGATGGAAACATACATTTGTGATAATTTTTTTTTCGTACCTTCTAGCTCCTCAATGCGTTTTTGCATTGCCGCTATGGTAGCTTGATACTCGGCCTCCATCTTGTTGTATAGTTCGTCGGATCGCCGAATCCGTTCTCGGGCAGCTTCGAGGTCACTTTTCATGTCTTTAAACTTTTTGGTCGAACTTGTCTTCTCTCCCTTCCCGCGGGCGGCTTTACTGGTTTCCTCTACACTGTAAACAAATGAAACAAACTAGTTAACTCACAAATGCCGGTTTGAACGGATATCCCATGCAACTGATTAGTTTTGTTTCATGTTTGTTTGTTTGTTTGTGATCTATTTTCGATGTATATATTCTTTAGTCTGTTATAATCTAAAATAAACTTGACGTTAAATCATCATCATCAGAAGGTGGCTTGCTTCAAAATATTTGTTTTGATTGTTTCACCTTGAATTAGCGAATAAACATTATGCCTTACCATTCGTCCAGATCACCGGATTCCGCATTTCGTTTACTTGTACGCGGCGTCTTGTCCACACTCTTCTTCTTGGGAGTTTCACTGTCCATGACTCCACGTACTAGACTAGAATCTTGACATTGGCATCGCGTAATAGAGTCGCCGCAAAAGCCGCATCTGTTTGGGCAATTGATGAGTGTATGCCCATCTGCCAAACCACATAACCTACACTTCTTCTTTCGCGACTCAGCCATAACGAAAGAGAGTTCTGGTACCAAATAATATTACCACCGTGCTTGAAGAGAAATATATACTCGCCTTAAGTCACTCTTGGAGATCATCCTGTAACGTCGTTAAAAGCGACAATTTCCAGAGTACTATTGCCTTTGCCAGAAATTTTTTCAGATTGTTGCTTACATTAGTTTTTATTTTGCCATACCGATTATGAAAAAATAAAATGACAAAATGACAAAAAGAACTAAAAATACTTCACAAAGAGAATGGCCGACTTGCAGCCTCCAGTGTGCTGCTCAAATACGTCCAGTGGAAGTAGCTCTTTATTGGTTAAAATTGATAACAGACCAGCTTAAAGTGAACTTTTTCGGAGGCATAAGTTGTGGTAGTCCTATTGAAGTATGCCGATTCTTGATCGAAAAAGTAAGATTTCCGGTTTTCAAGCGGTCAGCGACCTGAAAACGCACGGCAGTTTCTTTTGATCTTTGGTGTTATATCCTGCGCGTGGGTGTTTTGCTCTTCACGACCTTATCAATGAACTGTGAGCATCAAGGGGCGGACCATTTCACTTTTGATTAAGGAAGGGTGTGACTGAGTGATTTGTTCTAGGAATTTTTTTTCACACCCTTTTATGCGCAAGGAGTTTTTTTCAGTTAGGGCTTGTGCATGTATGACATTTTTTCCTCCTTTGTGTAACAGTCTTTTAAAAAAAGTTGAAGCAAAACAATTTTTATCGAAAAGAAAATTCTATAACCTTTACATTGATATCTAATTTGTAGTGGTTGGATTTGCCAAAAAGATTATTTTCTATATACGAAACCATGTGGTGCTATCTGTATGTGACTCTGGTCAGGTTTAGGCTAAAACAAACGAATGCCAATCAACTTAGCGTACTTGTTTTTGTAAGTTTTAATTCAATTACTGCCCTAAATATTACGTTTATATCAACAAGGGAAGTGACTTGGAAATTCTTTTCTCAGAGAAAAGATAGGGTTTTTTTTAAATAAAACAATGCAGAAAGAAAATTAAAATGAAGCTTAGGCGAAGAGGAGGAAGTCTGTGCCAAAGATTTTCCATAAGTTTAATTTTCCTTTTCCATTTTCGCTCCCCAGGTTCTCTTAGGCACGGCGAACTTCCCGCTTCCCACAGTAAGATAAATATAAAAGGAAACACTTCACTTGACGCTTCACGTGAACTCAACTTTTCCGCAAAAGAAGAATGTTGCTTTGTCATCTACAATCCTAATGGGGTTTCTCGCTTTCCCTCTATTGGCAGGTGTTATCAATGCATAACAGGAACTGCAACGAGGCCTGAAAACTGAGAAAATCACTTGGTACCGTAAAGACGCAATTCATGTTTCACCTTCCTTCCTTCCTTCCTCCATACGAATAAATCTCAAGCTAGATTGATTCGATTTGTGCCAAAAAAATTTGCCAAAATGCTCGTGCGCGGCTTTTCCAAAGTTAGAAAGATCTAAACTCTTTTCGGATGAAAACTTAATCGAGAACTTTGTACCTACGACCCACGACTAATACCTAACCCCGATAGAAAAGGTTCTTGCGGTAAACTCCAAATTAACCACAAAGTTTGAGAGATTAAATAAATGCCGCTAAAGAATGGTTTGTAGACCATACGCCGACTCGATGACACAGTTATGTAAATACATTTTTGATTCGTTTACTTAGAATATCCCGAATCCTTTCAGTCAATTTTGTTTCGCTTTGTAAATTGTTTTCGTTTCACTTAGTTTTCTTTCGTTTCATAAATGGTCATTTTCTCCTAAAAGAGCCTGATGACCTGTTATTCATAGTTCGGCTCCCGGGGAGGGTACATCTTCAGAGCTAACTCCACTATTCACTTGCCTGGTGTAAATAAACTTGTTATTTCTTTCTTGATTATTGACATACTGTTTCACGTAATTTTTCGTGTCATGATACGTTCGCGACACTTATTTTTCGCGTCACTTTCTCTCGCGATTTCAAAAAGAAATCGCGAATTTAACGTTTCGCGGAAATTTTATGTAATAAAGTATCATGTAAGAACTATATGACAAATTCCAGATGTCTTTTCTGCTGCTTCTCAGTAGCAAGCGCTCTTTCCGGGAGCAAACTACGATCTTTCAAGGACTTTTGCCATTCGCGTCAAGTGTAAGTAACGCAACCTGGAATGCCCAATTTTTTTCGTGATGAACTTGGACCCCTCGTATTTGGAATTAATAGAGGAAACAAACTCCGTATAATAAACTGGTTACAAAGGAGGAGACTTTTGAAAAGAAGCTTCAACTGTGTGAATTGTCGCCGGGCGATGCGGCTCACTCGCCACCTACATAATGTTGATGGATACATTTGGTGAGTATTTAACCCAAATTTTGCCTGCTAAATGTTTAGAAAATATGAAAACTTCCGTCAAAAATATATATGTTTAGAAAATATGAAAACTTCCTTCCAAAAAGATATATGTTTGTAAAATATGAAAACTTCCGTCAAAAATGTATTTTGAAAACTTCAACAGGAGATGTCTCCGATGTCGACGTGCTTCCTCAGTGAGAGGAAATTCATATTTCGCTGGAAGCAGAATTTCTTTAGGAAGACATATGCACTTTCTTTGGAAATGGGCACAAAGCGATTCCTTGAAAGTAATGGAGATCGAAGGGATAGCATCACGGAAAGTTTTGGTCAAGTTTGCGCGAAAGTGCCGGGAGGTTGCATGGGAAGCACTACTACGCCACCCAATCCCGCAGTTAGGCGGTCCGGGCGTAATTATACAAATCGATGAATCAAAGTTTAACTACAAGTCCAAGGTAGGTACACAACATGAGCCCAGGTATCAAGGTTGCCTTGAAAGGTGACCAAAACACCACAAGAGTAACACGAGTAACGTAACAGTAACATACAAGTACCTGCGTGTACATACGAGTATATACGAGTGACACACGGGTACATACAGATACATACGGGTTACATACGAGTAACATAGAAGTGCGAGTACATACGAGTCAGATATGGGTACATACAGATACATACGAGTTACATTTTTTTACATACAAGTAACCTACGAATATATACGAGTAACACACAGGTAACATACGGTCAAATGTGGGTAATACGCAGGAAACCTACAAAGTAAAATACGAGAAATTGGACCTTTCTCGGAAACCTTCGATTTGTTTTTACTGCTCGGTGTATTCATAGGTTCAAATGATATAGATATAGAATGTGAACCGCGAAGCACCTGTACTATAAATTATAATATATTTTTTAATAAATGTTTGGGTGCTGGAAGAAGGCAACACTGCCGATACAATAAATCCCCCTGGGTTACTACCCTTTTAAAGGAAATTTGGGAGTCCTCACGGGGCAAAGAAAATTTGACCAAGTGGGGATTGAAGCCACGACCTCCGAATTAGATCTACCGACTGAGCTACGAGACCAGTACGGGAGCAGGTCGGGGTAATTTAGGTAGTCAATCGCGATAAATGTGCAAATGATATCATTTGTACAAAACGGGGTAGTGTGGGGAGAAATTAGCATTTGAGGGTGTGTTTTCGTGTGCTTCGTGTGAGCCTATTGCTGCATAAAATACCAATAACATAAATTAATAATAAGAAATGCAATGAAAATAAAACAATGAGAAATAATGAAATAATAATAAAAAATAATAAAATAATACATATCTCGTTTCGCCGCAGGAGTCTTTGTGCGGGTAGTTATTTGAAGTTGCCCAACCCCCTACCCACGGAAAAAACTGAAAACTTCAAACATTTTCCACCCTAGGGTCACAAGGGCCGATCTTGTCCCGGGTATTACCGCGGGAGGGTGGTAACCGTAGGAAATCAGCGTTGTTGTTCAGCCTACAGGATTGAATAGTATTTGAATTTATTATTAGTTTTGTTATCGCTATTTTATGTAGTAATAGGCTCATAGGAAGCATTAAGGAAGGTCTCTTCCCAGCCCCCCCCCCCACCCCCATCACACACGCAGACACACACACCCTCAAATGCTAATTTCTCTCCATACCGAGCAGTGAAAAACAAATGAACTATTTCCGTTAAAGGTCCAATTTCTTGTATTTTACTCAGCAGATTTCATGCGTATTACCCACATTTGACCGTATGTTATCTGTGTGTTACTCCATGTATTCGTATGTTACTTTTATGTTACTCATATGTATCTGTGTGCGCCCGTATGACTCGTAATTACTCGTATGTACTTGTATGTTACTCGTAGTGCTCGTGTGGTGTTTTAGTCACTATCCTTTGAAGATAAATTGAACAAATGTAAGCTTATTTGCACCTTATCTTCTTCTCGCAAATGGCTATAGCACGTTTTATTCTCTTCTCTTCCATCCCAGCAAGTCGATCTCACCGTAGTGACTTCAACAGAAAAATAGCGCCATCCGAATTATTCCCAAAATCTTCGACAAAACCTGTAGCCAGATTAGAGCCAAAATGCCAAAAACTGTGCGCATTTTACCTTGAAAATGTTAACAATAAATGTTTCATCAAGAAATGTGCCCATAAAGAGATTCACCTCGATGCCTCGTATACATTGTATTTCATTCAGGTCTTTTTACAACAGAAAACATATCAACTAAAATACATACGAAACATTACATCAACCGTATTTCAGTTTATAATATCCACTTATGTCCTGCACCTGCTAGGAAACAGTCTTTCTTAATTTTTTTTTCTATATATTCAACACGTTTTAATGAAATTTGTCTCTTCTTGAGCACAGTTCCAAAGGGACGTCGACCTCGAGGAGAGAGATGGGTTCTTGGGCTTTTTGACACACAGTATGACCCCCGCTCGACCGTATTTACAGCTTGTGAGAAGGCGAGATGCGCGTACTCTTTTGACCATTATCCAAAGACACGTACAACCAGGCTCTTTGGTTTATACTGATGAATGGGCGGCATACAGGCAAATGCAAAGGGTCTTGGGTTTCAATCATCAAACGGTTAATCACTCGGTTAACTTTGTAGACCCAATCACAGGTGTCCACACACAACACGCAGAGAG